AATTTTATTTTTAGATATTACTGTAAAATGTTGCTTATTAAGGATTTTGTTTATTTTTAGCCATGACTATGATGTCATTTTCTATTTTAATACCTTTATTATGTAATTTCCATTTTTAGATATTACTGTTAAATGATGCTGATTGAGGGTTTGAATGCTGGGATTGATTTTGGGGGTAATTGCCTCCAAATTTTAGGAATTAGGGGGCAAAAAACAAGCATTTTTCTAGTTTCATGACAATAACTTGTGTTTAAGTCTATGGATATTTATGAAATTGTACTACAAGGTTCCATATCACAAAGGGAAAGCTGGAATTGAGTTTGGGGGTACTTGCCCAAAACGTTTAGGAATAAGGGGCCAAAAATAAGCATTTTTCTAGTTTCCAGACAATAACTTGTGTTCAAGTGTATGGATCTCTCTGAAATTGTACTGCAAGGTACCATACCACAAAGGGAAGGCTGGGATTGTTTTTGGGGGTAATTGTCTCAAAATGTTAGGAATTAGGGGCCATAAAGGGGCAAAAAAACAAGCATTTTTCTAGTTTCATGACAATAACTTGTGTGTAAGTGTATGGATCTTTATGACATTGTACTGCAAGGTTCCATATCACAAAGGGAAAGCTTGGTTTGAGTTTGGGGGTAATTGCCCTAAACTTTTAGGAATTTGGGGCCAAAAAGGTGCAAAAAACCCAAGCATTTTTCTAGTTTCCAGACAATAATTTGTGTTCAAGTGTATGGATCTCTCTGAAATTGTACTGCAAGGTACCATACCACAAAGGGAAGGCTGGGATTGAGTTTGGGGGGGGGGGGGGGGGGGGATTTTTTTTTCATTTTTTTTCTTTAAAATTTTCCATTTTAAATTGGTTATTTCTGATTTATATATAAAAGCAAATAATAATGATATGGTTTGAATAGGTAAATTAAAAAAATTTAAGTTCTTAGACTACTTTCATTCTGTGTGAGAAACCTATGCTGTGTCAAATATTTAATTACAATCCAAATTCAGTGCTGTATCAAGCTTGAATGTTGTGTCCATACTTGCCCCAACTGTTCAGGGTTCGACCTCTGCGGTCGTATCAAGCTGCGCCCCAGCGGAGCATTTTATTTTTATATTTGTGTTAGAATGTAGATTTAATGGATTTATTTTAAACATTTTAAAGTTTTAGTCAAAGTACTTTCAATGATGTCCATAGTAATATAAAAAAAACCACTGCCAGGTAAAATACCAAAGTTCTGATTTTTTACACATTTATTGCTGTATAAAGCTTAAAGCACATACATGTAACAATTGCACTCAATATTATACTATACAAAAATTGTAGCTTAGTTCTGAAAGGTTTCTGAATTTTCTTAAAACTTAAATGATCTTTTTTGTTTGAAATAATGTAAACATGCAGTTACAGTGTTTTATGTTTAGACAATTTTTATGCAAATTTTTCGTTCATATTTGCATTTATAGTACATGTACATAGATCATATTAAGAATTGTATGTCAGATTATTAAATGTATGACTACCATGATTGATTGATTGTTGGTTGCTTAACGTCCAGTGGCAAATATTTCATGCATATTCAGGACGAGACTACCATGATCCTACAGATAATTGTTGCAGGGAATTGAAAGTAAATTCATTTAAAACAGTAAAAATCACTGTAATATCTACATGTATGAGGAATATATTAATTTTTAAGCCATAGCTACACATACATTTGGAGGAGTATATGAAATCTAAATGCTAGTACCATGTCAAATCAACATATTTAACACTTTACACTTATCTTAGAAACATTTTTAATTTTAGGTTGTTTGTTCTTTTTTATCCCAAGTAAACTATGAAGAATATTAAACCAATTATATCAACATACATGTGTAGATAGATATTATCCTGGACACTGTATCGTACTGGGCCGGCACTTATCCAGGACTTTTTATTTAAAAGGGTACCAAAACGGTTCCCTTAAAAGTTTAAATTAAGTTGATTTTTAAGTGATCTGTTAATATAGGTTAATGTTGAGTAATTTGGGCAATATTTATTGATTTGTCCAGATACCAATTAAATTCCATTTTTTACAAGCATTTACAATCTTTTCATTATAAAACAAAATATAAAGAAGTATGATCTTGTTTCTTTTGTTTATCATAACATGCACTCAGTATCTAGTTAGTTCCAGTAAGTAAGATGTACGCCTTCATGTCAATTGTTGATGAGATTACTGTTAAAATTGTTATAAGTACAATCATGTTTACATTCCATTTACAGAATATTTGGTTTTTGTAAAACTATATTAATAAATATTTGTTAGAGTATGTGTTGTTCAGTTCATTATTGTGTGTTCATATGAATGTATTACATTCTCCTTTGAAAAAGTAACAGGAGATGAGAGTATGTCTGACAAAGCAGTTTCTCCTACAGTGGGTTGGGCTGAGAAATCAACAATTAATCTTTCACCTAAGTCAGTCCAAATTTATTCAAACTACAACCATTTTTTTATTTGCACAGTCAGATATCATTCACCTCATAAACATTTCTGGTATACAGTCACTATTTGTGACATTGAAAAAATGATAATGTCACTTTTTATGTGTTTCCGTAGAGATTAATTTATCAAAACAAACCAGAATTTTTACATTGTCTCAAATTCAAAATTATTGTTCCTTCTCATGATATTTTATTTGGAACAGTTGTAAGTGTTGCAGTATAAAGAGAACACCAGAAATTGTCTCAAGACAGACATTTTATTTGTACTCCGCTGTAAACAGGAAACATTGCTTGATAACGCAAGCCATTCTACTTATTTCTATGCTTTGTACAATTGAATTATATATATATTTTGAGACAATATATACTTATTTTATTAATAGAAGTATATAGCTATAGGTTCTATCTTGACCATTGACAATTTCTGTTCAAGAGATAAGCTGCAATCAGGGGTACTTGTGATCACTTGATCACTTTATTCTGGTTTTGTTTGGGTTAGTTTCTCCACTAACTATCTATATAAGAAATAATTCAATCAATTGTAGATGTAACTTAAGTGTAGAAAAGTTTATCATTTTAAGCTCAAGAAAATTATGGTAATAAAATCAAACAAGAGGCACATCCTAATAACCCAGTTCATATTCAAGTTTGCCCAGATACTTTTTAATCTGTTAAAACGTTTTGGCATCATATTACCATGCATAACTGAATTTCAATAATATGAAATAACTTTGAAAGGGTTCTCCTTTGCATGTACATTGTATTATTATTTTGGAGCTCTACAGCAATGCCGTCATTTCAATCTATAAATTGCTGCTGTAACCTTGACCTTTGGCTTAAAAATCAAAAGGGTGTTTTTCACCCTAATGTGCATTATCTGCCAAGAAAGGAAAAGGTAAGATATATAGCTCAAAATATATTGTCCTGAAAAAAAACTTTTACAAAACTTTCAGTATAAAATAAGGAGATGTGGTATGATTGACAATGAGACAACTATCCACCAGAGTTAAAATGAAGTGGATGTAAGCATTTATAGACAACCATACGGCCTTCAACAATGAGAAAAACTCATACTGTATTGTTGGATATAAAAGGCCCAGATGTGAAAAATGTGAAATGTGAAAGGTATTTATAGGTACTGTGAACTTCGACATACGGACTCTTAAAAAACAATATGGTCTTCTGTCAAGCAACATTCTACAGCTAATATCTGGGAAGTTCGGACAAATGGTTCCAAAGACCATATAAACAAAATTAAGTTTGGTCTATCAATTTTTGATGTTAAAGAGAGGCGGAAGATATCAAAAGTGGGTGGGGTAGTCAAACTTTGAAAAAAGACTGACAATGCCATGGCAAAAAACGAAAAAAAGACCAACAGACAAAACAACAGCCTACAAAACATTGACCTCTTAATCAAAGGGGTATTTGCATCTGTTGGGTGCATTACCCAAATCATAGTTGGTAAAAGTTGGACATATGGTTCAAATAAACAACAAATGGAAACCAAAATTTCGGCACAGATTACATTTTATAAATATCTGCTGTGCCCAAATATCGGGTACCTGTTAAGTGCGAAACAGAACGAATCAAAATTGACCAAAACAAAACGACATACAACAAAATCAAATGAAATCGATCACTTTTTTATTTGTTTAAAGTGAAAAGTTTTATACTTAAAAGTTTGAGACATGCTGTATTTCCTGAATTTACACAGATTACTGTAAAGTCGTTTTCTGGACTTGTAAAAAGCTGTCATTGAGGTAGTGAGGCAATTGGCTTTGCCTCATCCAATTTGTAATCAAGAAAACAAAAAACAGAAGTATAAAGGGATATCAAAGGTATCACGTGTATTCCATAGTAAAGAGTGTACATATGGGTCCAAACATTTCACCTCTCTATGGCTCTTTACTCATACATTACTCATAATTAATTTATTGAACGGACATTAGCTGTCAAATTCATGTTCACCGATTTGACTCAAATTAGCAAATCTCATTTATAACATAATAAAACGTATATTCAAATTACAAAAACTCAATAGAAACAATTAAAAATGCATGAACTCGTTATAATGGATCAGTATTTTGTGTGTATTTGAGACTAGAGGGTATCTAATTTACCATCGAGATGACCTCCAAAGAATGCCGATTGCCATACGACTCATATAAACATAAACATAAATATAAATGCACAGACTGTCAGGCACATGCATTCGTATTTTGGTGATGTTTTAGGTCTGTTTGATTTCATGTCTAAAAAAAAGTGAATCATCGTTTTACCTTAAATAGAATGATTTTTTTGTGTGCAGAATCAGTTAACGAAATGGATCTTCTCCATGGCTCACTAGTTTCACTTTCCAATGTTGTCATTTTTTCGTTTTCATGACTGTGACTTAACTATTGGTGTTGCTGTTTA